GTGGTAAACGAAATAATAAGTTGATCTGAGTAAGAGTTTTTTTCTTCTTCCCGATTTGTAAAAAATACTTATGCGATAGAAAAAAATAAATATTATTTTCGAAATTTGCGTAGCTGAATTATGGAAAATCCGTTATTAAAACCAAAACAACGTTTATGAAGTTCAACTTCGCAAACCTATGTTATTGAGTTAGTGAATTTGTTAGGTAGTTTGTTAGAGAAGTAAGCACGTAAGAGAAAGTATTACCAGTATCTACTCTGAACTCTGTGAGTGTTGGCTAAGCTAAGTTATAGAACTTATAGTCCATGAAGTAAAACACTTTTGTTTTCATAGTGGACTAGACTTTATATTCTTCTTTCTCCCAAATAATCCAAAAGAATACAGTCAATAACAGAAACTGTTGCAACAATATATATATATGTTTATATGTTTTTCATTCCATAAACAAGTGTGAGGATATTCAGTTCTATATTTTACACTCAGAATTAAATCACATCTGGGTGAAGGAGAATGGAGTTACTAAATGTATTAAGTCAAATTAAGTAACAAAACCACTGGGCTGAGAATTGCAATTTTGTCCAATTTCAACTTTCATTAGTCTAGCAAGGTTAATGACAAAGATGCCACCAGAGGGAAGTTTGCATACTTTCAGAGTGGAAATTGGTTTGGAAAAGCTTTAGAAGTGGATAATAACTTGGTGTAGGTTTCGGTGTGGGACTTTAGGTATGGAATTTGACTTGATGTAGTTTGAGATGTGAAAATTGACATGATGTAGTTTTAGGCATTGAAAACTGCTTGTTGTAGCATGTAGTACAGAATAGTACAATGTACCTTATACTTCCTTAGTCAAGATGTAAGTTTTTTCCAAATTACTCTGTTTCTCAAGGTTCTCAGTTTGTATGCAGGGAGTCACACATATAACACTTTAAGTTTCCCTGTTTTCTGAACGTGCAAGATATGGTTTCATTTGTTAGCAATTAAATGACTTTCTTGCTGGAAAGATGGTATGTGACATCCAGAAATAAAAAGTTATCTTTCCTGTTGGCAAGTTGGATAAGGGGCATTCACGCCTTAGAGCTTAACTCCCAGTAGACACATATCTTGGATATAGGATGCATTTTGTGGGCAAAACCTGACTTTATCAGAACTTTTGGCTATGGTATACAAAGTTGAGTTTGCCCCCTATAAGAGAGAATTAGGTGATTCAATATATTGTTGGGGGAGATATGTATTTTTAGTGTTAACTTATTGTTGGTTTTTAACGTTGACCTCCTTGCTGTGACAGTGAAACTTGTTAATGCAATGTTTTATTTATTTTTGTTGTATTTTTAGTGTTAACTTGTTGTTGGTTTTTAACTTTGACCTCCTTGCTGTGACAGTGAAACTTGTTAATGCAATGTTTTATTTATTTTTGTTGCTTAACTTTGGATTTTGTAATTTAAGGTTTGTAAATAAACATTGTTTAGTTCAGCGTTTGCTAAGAATTAAACATTGAGTTCTGTTTAACTTGTTTTCTCGTTTAGTTACTTAACATAAACTTTGGAGTTTTTCTTTTATTTTTAAACTTTGGGGTTTGGGTTAATTTAAAAGGGGGCACACCAAAATGAAAGAAGCTTTTTGCACTCACCACTGAACACTTTTTGTTATTGTGTTGTGTTATTATTTATGCTCTCACATTTCTATTGTTGTAGAGTTTTTTTTTTTCTAGACAATGCCAGTTGTAGACGGGAAAGATCAATATATCCTGTAGTTTGGCATTCTTCAAATAGTGGGTTTAACTGACAGCTCTGCGGGAAAATCCCTTTTGCACAAAAATACCACAAGATTTATGGGTGCGACATTGGTTTGGAGTAGGTTTAAATGCATAAATTAGCTTGATGCAGCTTTAAGTGAGGAAATTAGCTTGATGTAGTTTTACATGTAAGAAGTTCGCTTCGTGTAGCTTCAGATGTGGGAAATTAGTTTGATGTGGCTTTAGGTGTGGAAATTAGCTTGATACGGCGTTAGATGTGGGAATTAGTTTGATGCAGCTTTAGTTTTGGAAATTAGCTTGATGCAGTTTTAGATGCGGGAAATTAGCTTGATGTAGCTTTAGATATGGGCAATTAGTTTGATGTAACTTTAGATATATGCACACTTATAATACAATTCACTTCAATAAGATGCCAAAAAAATTGAAAGTTAATTTTGGTTGAATCTCGTGTTGGCGAATTAGCCGATCTCCATATTTACTATTTCAGAAATACTTGTAACTTTACAGGACGGTGTGTCGCTCTTAAAATTCTTATAAATACTTATAAGAGGTCACGTTGAAATTAGCTTCACCGGCATATGACGCAAATACTAAAGCAAAATTTTATTTAAGATATTTAGAAGTGAAGCTCTAAATAACTCTCGAAATGATTAAGAACATGTAGTTATGCCCAAAGCTACACAATGGGCTATCTGTGCTCTGCCCACCACGGGTATTGAAACCCGATTCTAGCGTTGTGAGTCCGCAGACATACCGCTGTACCACTGGGGGGGGGGGTGATGAATTAAGAGATGATCAAAGTTATCAATAACACTTGATCTGAACGTTTAGAACTTCAAGTTGATGCCCAGTCTGAGAAGTTAAGACATGGTACAAAGAGTGAAATAAGATTTTATAACCACAAAAAAGAACTGATCTTATCTTGATCGTTGGCATGATTTTCATTTTAATACATAAAGTAGAAAAAAGAAAGTTAATAAAAGATTAAGTAAATGTAGCAAAACATGAATAAGTTGTTTACGCATCTGTTACACTGTAATTTACAGTGTAAAGCAAACGAAGAAGTTGATGACTAAACAAAAGTAAACAAAGCAGAAGTTTCTTAGTGGAATTTTATCTAAACAAAAGTGAGAAGAATTGTAAATTACCAAATGAAGTTATATCATTGTAACTTCACCTAGTGGTAGATAAATAATAACTTGCTAGCAAAGTTTTAAGAAAATCCAAGCACGATGACATTTTCTCTAAAACTGTAGTTTTAAAAAAATTGGGGCCTTAACCCTGATTCAGAAAACAACAAAAAAAAACACTTTTATATTGGCAAAGGAATATTAAGCAGATGACAAATCAAAATTAAAAAAAGAGTGAACAATCACGTTAGCTAAGTTTCAACTCATAAGAAAAATCTAACTTATCCAATTGATAAATAAACTTATTGAAACCAACATGGTTCAAAACTAAAATGTAAGCAAAGAATAACATAATTTTTTCTTGTCTTACCTGCATTGAAAAAAACAAATAACAGAAAACAGAAATACATCATGAAAATACTGATGATAACAGGATTGCTGTCAAGAAGTATTATGAGTATAGATACTTTTTTGCTACAGTTAACTAAAGTTTGTATACCTTGCTAGAAAATCCTATCGTAGTGACGTTATGAAATTTAAGTGAATAAAGCTCGTAACGTCTCATCTCTACGACCTACTTCCTTTCACTGCCACCAGGGGCTTTACCGGTTTATGCCAACGAATGCTTCGAGATAAGAAAGGGACAGCAAAAAAAAAAAAAAAACGGCTGAAGTAACATAGAGAGCAAATGAAATTGTAGGTCAAAGATTGCAAAACATCACTTCATATGTCAGACTCCCTCCAGGTGTAGCAAACTTGTTTAACCTGCTTGGTTTCTTCCAACGATAGGTAAATATACCGTATGTTGCTGTTTTCCTATTGCCTTTACCTGCTAAGTAGAATCTTGTTTCTCTGTTTTTAGAAGCCGATATATCTCCCTACAAACCAATGAATATTCCCGCTGAAATGTTTTGAGATGATAAAGCGTTAAAACGTGTTTCTTCTATATAGAATTTTCAGAAAAGCGTTACGTTCTTGTTAACTTGAAGTATAATACATGTTTAATAGAATGTTTAGGAGAAGAATACAAGGAAAATACACCAAGCTTAAAATAAACATGACCATTGTTAAAGTTATTCAGAATATAGGTATTAAAAGTCTCAAAGTGTTTGTGTGGGGGTATAACACAGGAAACTGTTAAATAAACTTCTCTTTAACCGGAGCATATTTTTCGTGTAATATGATACTGATTACACGCTAAGCATTTTCTTTTAATCGCAACAGTTTTTATTATTGTCCTTTTCGCTTCTATTTTAACCATCGTCAAGCTATCAAGAAATATATTTAGTCTGTACATATTAAGAGTAAACTTATATGAACAGTTTTACTGTCACTGGTAACCTGATGAAGGGCTGTTGCCCGAAACGTCGTTTTCTTGTTTTATTAATAAAGTTATTTTAATTTGGCGAGTTTTTCACCACTACTTTATATTATTTATATTTTTCATTTTGTTATTTCTTCACCTACGCAATTATTTTATTACTTGAACAAATCCACCAAATAATGTGTATGCTGGTTTATTGGTATTAGAGTATTAATAAGATAGTAAACTTTACAAAGGACAATTCCGCACGAAAACTTTTATATTAACCATTCATGCTAGCAATTAATTCAGTTGGTAACATGAAACTCATACCAACACAGCCTCCTGGTGGTTCAGCGATAGACTGAGGGATTATAACAATAAAATAATGGTTTCGATACCCGTGGTGGGCAGAGCACAGATTGCCCATTGTGTAGCTATGCGCTTAACAACAGACAAACAAATAAACCATAAGGGCAGCTATGTCAAAAATGTATAACTAACTGTTTGTACTTTTCATTATATGATTTCAAAATTAAACCTTTTCACACAACTACGAGGATATGTAAGAAATGTTTTCTGCAAACAAGTAATTATTTGATGTTTGAAAATGGACACAAAACGTCGTTCCAAGTGTTTCGTCTAGGAAATATTGTTGTTTTTAGTTAAGCGCAAAGCTACACAGTGAGCTAGCTATCTGTGCTCTGCTCACCACCATATAAACCCGGTTTCTAGCGTTGTAAGTCCGCAGATCGTCTTGGAAATGAATAATTTTAAAATAATGAGAAAAACTGATATACACGGTTATATTAACTTTTTCTCCCAAAGTCCAATGTGTCTACAGAACTTAAATAACCATAATATTTTGTTTCTTAGTAAATAATGTCATGTTAAGCAGTTTTAAGGATAAATGATGAGATACAATCAGGGGTGAAATTCTGTATCGGTTCTTTTTTAAAATTCTAACCTCGTGGTTTAGTGGTAAGCTTGAGGGCTTATAATGCGCTAAAATTCAGAGCTCGATCCTTATGGTGGACACAGTGCAGATAAGCCATTGTGTGATTTTACGAGTAAGTATACAAAGAAGCTAATTTTTAGAATTTAATTTGGAGCACTAAATTTTATTTTGGAAGCCGATCCCGGGTTTAATTATTTTTTGTATTTCTTAGCAGTTCTGTTCAAAAAGTACTTGAAGAGGTACCGTTAACTTGCAAGAAACTTGGTACTCCATACAGAGTGAGGTCAGATCTTCTCAAAGGTTCGCTTGATAACATATTTTATTCAAGAAAATTGATGATATATATATGTATATATGTGTGTGTGTGTGTAGAACACTACTATGTCTGTCGTATCTCAACCGGCTCAATGAGCCCTGGTGTTGAAAAAAGACATGATCGGCACAGGTTACGGCAGATATAATATGGATACAATATTGCAACACATTCTCCTTTGCTTTTTCTAATGGATTTATTCCTAAGTGGGTCAGCAGAACTACAGTATTATACCTGCCTATGACTGTAATTGTGAACACAATGATGTCGTATTAAATATTTTTAACTAGAAAAATAATGTACGAAACGTGTCTTCTTAGAATATGTTTTCACTTGAATGCGTTCCAAAGTTTGTAAGTAGGTCAAGGTTTTCTAACTTAAAACAAAAGTTCATGGTAAAGGAAAATGCAAAATCCTTGAAGAGTTTTTGTTCCGGGTGACATTTTTAACGTGATGATTTTTCTTATCAGGTGACTTTTTAATGCGATGTTTTTTTCTTATCAGGTGACTTTTTAACGTGATAGTTTTTCTTATCAGGTGACTTTTTAACGTGATGATTTTTCTTATCAGGTGACATTTTTAACGTGATAATTTTTCTTATCAGGTGACTTTTTAATGCGATGTTTTTTCTTATCAGGTGACTTTTAACTGATAGTTTTACTTATCAGGTGACTTTTTAACGTGATGATTTTTTCTTATTAGGTGACATTTTAACTGTTGTTTTTTTATCAAGTGACTTTCTAATGCAATGAGTTTTCGCAACGATAACTTTTAACCTGATGAGTTTTCATATTAGGTGACTTTTTTAACTTGGTATCTAATGCGTGCGACTTTATATTGGGTGTGGATGCCATGTGCCTTGCTGATTTGCGTATTCAACATCGTTTAAATATAACATATTCAACCTTGTAAATTGAGCAAATGTCATCTTTATTCATGTTTTATCATATGATTCATACAAAAGCAAAGAGAAATTTATGTATGCTAATCTCTATTACAGAGTATACAGCTTATATTTTAGATCAACTGTGACACACCAGGATTCAAAACTTTTAATACAAGTACTAGATTTATAAATTTGTATCTTTTTATGAAACATAGCAATTGCAGTGCCCTCTATAATGTTTATTATGTCAAAAAATAACCACCAAACATTTCATATTCAACAAAAATATTAATACAACTTATACAGATTTCTAAATCCACTCGCAGATGCTCTGTCTCAAAAAAGTTGTTATTGCTGACAACAATAAATAATGAACTAAGATGAAGTTAACACATCTTTTCAGGATTCCACAGTACGCCTAGTTTTCTTCAACACATTCTGTGAAAAAATAATCGAAATTAGCAACTTCAGTAATGTGTGTTACTTGTTAGAAAAGGTGCTTCGATAGCGAACCTAGCGTGACGTCACGTGACTTACTTGTCTCAATAATTTAAAATGAAGCCAACGTCATGGGTTACCATGACGACAAATGAACATAACTCACAATGTTATATTCTTACGGAAAGGAAATTTCCATCATTCGTTGTACTTGTATTATTATCAAGCTATGAGTGTCTACTTAACCATAGGTTAGAAATTTTAGCTGTAAATACTCGAATCAACCACAAAACAACCAAAGCCTTAGCCTATTAATCATATGAAAATATTTCATATTAAGCTCACTTATTAGTATTCAGCAAACGTTTAGTTAAGTCACTCTTTCTTAACATTATACTAATGTTCTTAGAATCCACATGATTTTAGTAACGTCTTTTACTGTTTTCTTATAAGATCAGCAGCTGATCTCGAGATGTGGTTAGAAGCTTGTGAGTATTTGTCAACCTTAAATCTTTCTTTATCTTGTTAATGGTACCTGGAGATATGCCCAGCTTCATCGTAACGGCCTTTTTTATTGAAGAGTTCTCTTTAGTAATTATAGACTTCATTCTGCAAATGAGGCCTTTCCTCTGAATTGCATTGGGGTTTCGAAGCTCAATGTTGCTCCAAGTGCTCTGATATCGTAGTTTTTCAACTCCATGTAAAATATTTTGTCTTTCTCAGTATACGAGTATACGTTATCGGTCCTGGTTGTCAACTTGTTGTCATAATGGAAAATAGTAAAAAACTCAATCAAACAAGGTATGAAGCTAAGTGTATACAACCACAACATCTCAGCTTCTAGGGCCTTTCACTGTCTATAGCCAGTGATATACTTATATACTGAAAAATAACGGCTATAAATACAGGCAATTATAGAAATACCTCACTTTATTTTTTAATAATTACAAAAATATTTTAGAAACTAACCTATTGATTAAGGAAAATATCTTATAAAAATAAATAAAATAAAGAGGGAGTTTCTTTAGATTATAAGTAGCTAATAATAATTTTTCAAGTAATTTTATTCAGTATACCGGGACTGAAAGACTAATTTCAAGTAGATGAGCTTGTCTCGGCGTTCCCGTGTTATACTTGAATAAATCTTCAGGAGAAATGGAGGAGGTTAAAACTATAAAAGAACTTTTAAGGTAGGGCGTATAGAATATATAGGTTCTAAATATGTCAGTAATGCACCACGGTTTGAACCTATATCAACATGCCATTGTATTACCATATGCACATCCTTCTTATAAAGTACAACTATCTATTTGTAGATAGTGTTAGTTTCCTACTGTGTAATGCTTACTAATTAAAAAGAATAAATAAACATTTACGAAACCCTAAAAAGCCAGCTTTTTTGTACTTAATAAAACTTGAACTCCTCTTCTGCCCCTCATCTAATTTTTTGTCATTCTCTTGCTCCATCCCTTCCTAAGTAAAAATTTTAGAAATGTCACTGCATGTAAGACAGTTTTATTTTCAGAATAAGATTATTGAGTTATAAAATTAGTTGTTTTTAGAAGTAACGGGGACCAATAAGTTATGGAAGTTTAAGAGGGGAATAGATGATTTCCTAACAAAAAGATGGTTTCACATTTTTATTTTGCTTAAGCGTAGGTGTGCAAAGGCAACCTTCAAGGATCATATAGTTTTTCG